TGTTTTGTGCTGATATCGAAAACTGCTAATTGAGCTGTATATTGAGAATCATCAGCTCCCACAATTTGTCATTGGTGTCTATTCTGGCATGTTTCTCTAAATATAAAACTAAATTAAACATCAAGTTCTCCTTTTCATTTTGTATAGAGAATGACAAAGATCCACAGTTGTCAAGTTTAGGTTTAGATAATCATGCCAGAATCGATACCATTGTTAGCTAAAGCTTTCGATCCACCACGGGGTTCGTTTCTTAGGTCAAAATTTCCAGAACGGAAGCAAGCTAACCAAGCCGGTATACGTCGTTAATGTTGCATAGCTCTTCTGCTATGACGGTACTCATATCATACTCCATATTCACTAAACTTTTTAACGTATCCATAATGGCGAAAAACGTACAAATGCACTAAAATCAGAACGCTAACCATTAAACTAAATGACTATTTTCGTTAAATAAATCCATATTTTAAAGATAAAAATAAACAAAACGTAGAATTTTTAGCAAAAAAAATATATACTTAAAATTGCAAGTACGGTAGAACAACAATATCATAAATAAAAACCTATTAATAAATTCCCAAAACTAAGTAATGGATCGTGGTCATATTATTAGAGGAGGGTAAAAGGCCTCTGTTTAGTCTCTCATTCTGAGTGTTGTAAGTTTTATGCGCTTACCACACGCACAAGCTTCACCACAGTTTGGCCTGCGCAAGCATCTCGCACGAAAAAACTGTACATTTTGTGCGTTACCATACCACACGGCACAGTAAAGTACGCGCAAGCCTCATTCTTATCGAAAACATTGGCGTGGAAACAATGTTTCCTAATGAAGAAACATTTTTTATGCTACTATTTTTCAAGTGTTTGCTATTAAAAAAAAACATGTAAAAACGATAGGATATGTACATAATGTGTGCAAGTAGGTATTAGGCATAGGTATTTTAGTCGCAAAAATTATGTTCTTACCTCTTTCATTTTATTTATCATTCTTTCGTAGGCGTCGTTCTGTTTATTTCATTATTATTCATATTTATTAATCTTTAGATTTAATTTTTCAGAGTGCAGGCAGAGATGTTAAACTAATGGGATCCTCATATTGATGCCTTGTCAAGTAGATTGAGCTCTGCAGCTTTCGCTGTTAAAAAGATAAGACTCTTAACTGATGTGGAAACGGCAAGATTAGTTTACTTTGGTTACTTTCACAGTGTTATGTCATATGGCCTTTTGTTGTGGGGCTCAACCGCTAATATCGAAAGTATTTTCATACTGCAAAAGAGAGCTGTTTGCGCCATATACAATTTAAAGGCAAGAGAATCCCTTAGAGACAAATTTAAAGAAATTCATATTTTAACACTGGCGTCGCAATACATTTATGAAAATTTAATATATGTAAGAAAAAACTATGATGAATTTGCAAAAAAAAGTCAAACAAATAACTTTAACACGAGATTTAAGAACAAGCTTGCCGTTCCATGTTTCAGACTCCAAAAATCAAGAGGTTCATTTCTGGGTTGTAGTATTGCATTGTTTAACAAAGTTCCCCAAGATCTGATTGAGCTTCCACTGACTAAATTTAAATCTCAGATCAAAAATACTCTTATGAATAAGGGCTATTATAAAGTTGTTGATTATCTAAATGATCGTAATGCATGGACATAGTGTTTCTTATAATTTGATATTAAATGGGTATTAGTCATTTTTCATAACAGTAATATTGTACCTATCTAATGCCGCTTCCTATATACTACTTAAAATGTTAACTATAAAATTAATTGTAACTATATATTTATATTCTAGATGATGTAATGGAAAGTGACTTCAGACGTATTTCTGAAGTAATTTTTCAACTTGACGACACTGTATATAACAATACAGGGAGAAAAAAACAGCCCTTGCGGAGTTTCTTGCCGGTTCTTCTCAGTACAAGGTCTCCCGCCGTAGTTTTGCGAACCGATGGCGTAGCTTCTTGACCTTCACAAGTTCTTGTAACAGCCTAGACTGAATAAATGACAATTAATTCGGATGTGAATTCGCGATTGTACATACACAAATCTGCCATTTTAGAGTGACGATGACGAACGACTACATGAAACGACGAGCGAGCCTCGACACAAAGTACACCCGACTGTGGCTTGAACTAGCGATGGGCGTTGAATTAACGAACGGTTTAAATAGACGGTCTACGTTCAATCGACGCTTCGACAGTCTACAGTTTATTCGTTAACTAGTTGAATTCATAGACGGCTAAACTGAGAGTCCACAGCGTTCATATCTACTGACAACGCGACGTCGACGCGTAAACGTATCCGGTTTACCGGTTACAAGTCCATACGTTCGTTCATTCGTTGAAATAAAACAATTTCAAACTTAAGCATATGGCATGGGAGTAGATATTTGTTCGTTTTTTAAACTAGAGTTGTTAAAGTGAAAAGGCAAGAGTATTCTGATATTGCGTGGATGTACGTTGATGGATCTGGCTAAACGATGCAGTGCAGGATGAACGGGTTTATAATAATTGTTTACCTCTAGTAGTTGCAGTTTTGTTTATTGAAATTTGAGTTGAAGAATTCAACTAGTTGATCGACTAGTCGATGGACGGTAGTGGACTGTTTAGTTTCGTCGACGAAAAATACGTCGACGACCCACCTCTAGCTTGAACACTGAACGCCCAACCACACGCACAGACAAGTACGCACAGGCCGGGCTTAGGGTGCGGCCAGAGTGCACTCAGATTCAGAGTCAGATTCAGATTCTGAAAACAAGCGCGAGAAATAAACAGTGTAGTCGAAGGGTACGGCCAGATTGCACTCCTGATTCAGATTCAGATTCAGACTCAGAAAACAAAGCGCGAGAAAAAGCAAGCAACCTGCTTAGACTACACTGTTTATTTCTCGCGCTTGTTTTCGAAATCTGAATCTGAGTCTGAATCTGAGTGCACTCTGGCCGCCCCCTTACGCAGGCAAAATTTCAAGCAAGTCGAAAAGTGCGCAGGCCGCGCTGTGGGGTTGGTGCGTGATACAGTTTTACCAACTACACGCACCGTGTTCCGTGTAAGGGTACGGCCAGAGCAGTGTTGCCAACTCGGATTTTGAAAAAGGCGTAGGCCCGATGGGAAAATTACGTAGACTAAGTATTTTTTGCATATGAAAAGTACGTAGATCTACGTACTTTTTTCTGAGTGAAATGAAGAAGTCAGGTGAAACCGAATGAAACGAGTATTTTGTTATACAATTTCTTTAAAAACGGGAGATAGAACAAAGAGTTCTTGGAGAAATCGCTGCATTGGAAGCATTTACCATGCTGTGGTAGACCATGACCATGTGGTATTATAAAACCATGATTTCTAATAGATCACATGAAAAATAGAGTTAGTTATCATAATACACTTGGTAAAAGACTCTAGAAAGTTGTGGTTAAAATTGCCAAGCGAAATAATACATACACTAATACATGAACACATGTTAAAAACTTACTAATTCCTGTAACTTTATCGACTGAAAGTCATTTCTTTTTGCAAACATCAATAGGCTAGTTGACTCATGTCGAATTGTATTAAATAAAAATTCATAAAGTATTTGCTCTAAGGAACCTAAATATATCAATTTCACTTCATAAAAGCAGAAGATTGCTGTAGAAATTTAATTTTAAAAAATATTTTTTAGTCTATATTTTTTAAACACTAAAAATGCTGTTCGCCACATCCGCCATGATTGTGACGTCTCATATGGTAAACAACTAAATGTCATTCGCGTGTTACTGTGGGTGGATTCTTTCGTCTGACTAAATTTATCATAAAAACACTTTTAACTTTAGAAAAGTTTCCGTTTACTGTTTTTTTTGAAAAAACTAATTATGGATGCCGGCTTTGTGAAAACAGGAAGCACAAATCTGCCAAGAATTGACGCATTCATGGTTGGTGAATTTATTTCACTAAACCCCGATTTCTGCTCTGCGGAGCAGAGAAACGACAAGGCATCTATGTAAGTACAGTGTATTTAGTATTACAATTGGTGTCGATTCTGGCGTGATTCTCTAAACTTAAAACTAAATTAAACATCAGTCTCTCCTTTTCATTCCGTATAGAGAATAACAAGGATACACTGTTGTCAAATTTAAGTTTAGGTTTAGAGAATCGTGACAGAATTGACACCAGTGTAGTAATAAACATAAAACTGATACAACATATGAATAAGTGTAATAAAGTTGCGTAGGTTAATTTCTTTCGGCACTTTTAATTCACAACTTTCCTGGAATCTTCAAGGATGTGTTTTTATATTCTCGTACAATACAATAATGATAATTACTTTATTTTTCGGGGTATTTATTAGAAATCATCTTTTGTTTATTATAAAGTCAGTTATTTTCTTACGAGTTTTTGTTTATTTACCTTTCGCTATGTGTTTACTGCAGTTAACGTCATAGCATAGATAATCTATAGACTAAAATGGCCGATAGCGTTTTTGTATGTCCATGAAAAATCTATTTTAAAATTAAAGATTTGTAGCTTTTTAGGTCTCAAAAAAATACAATACATTTTTTTTCGGTCTAATAGAACATTTATTAACCATTTAAAACCTTTTTCCAAAAAGGGTCAACTAGCCTATTCGACGTAAGTACTCATTGAATAATATTTAAAGTTTAAAAAATCAATTTTTAAGGTTACGAATGTACCTACTAAGTCAAAGAGTTTTGTCGTTTCTCCTTTCACAAATCCTGCGTCCAGCATTAATTTAGTCAACAAAACCAATGACGGGAACCTTTTCTACAAGTTACAAGAGTTTTTAGATAAATCTTTATAAGAAATAAACATTTTTATAGTTTTTAATTAAAGTAACGGAAAATATTCTTCTAGTGAATTAAGTTATTTTACAAATTTGAAAAAATTAAAGAAAATACGTAGATTCTGGGACTAAACTTAGTAGGTTTTCAGAAAAGGCCTAAAATACGTAGATCTACATAAAAAGACGTAGAGTTGGCAGCACTGGGCCAGAGTGCACTCAGAGGTTGCCTGCGACCACTATGGCCACCCTGCTTTAACTACACTGTTTATTTCTCGCTCTTGTTTTCGGAATCTGAATCTGAATCTGAGTGCACTCTGGCCGACCCTACAAACCGGCCTGCGCAGGCAAAACTGTGGTGAAGCTCGTGCGTGTGGTAGGCCCATTAGGGTTAAAATTAGCCAGTCCTGCTGTTTATCCATGGTTGAATTGAACACCATAGATCATAGAGTTTATTACACCAATGCAGACAGAAGTGAAAGAAAGTGTCAATGGAGGTCATGCATTTATATGCATTTTACAACAGATAATTTGTTGAAAAGTCAAAGTAATCACAAAAAGTCTGATGATTTATTACATTGTAATGTGCATATGTGATCAGGTTAGTAAAATTTCATTAGATCACCGACATTCAAGGGATTTTTCTTCGAAATGTCTATCATTCAGTTCGACCGTATCAGAAAGTTTGTTTTTTTTGCAGGATTTCAATCCGAATACGTAGTAATGGCAGACCAGTTTTGTTTACGTTGGAACAATTTTCAAACAAACATCGTTAGTGCATTGGATTCTCTCAAATGTTCGGAAGATTTGGTGGATGTTACTCTCACTTGTGAAGGCAAAAACATCAAGGCCCACAAAGTCATACTGTCCGCATGCAGTCCGTACTTCAGGAATGTGTTCAAGGTGAATGACTGGGGACATTAAATAACCTTCGCATTTGTGCTAGCGTTTGCAAGTATTATGATATGATGTACTTCTATGGAAGCGTTTTTTTTGTTTTGTAAACACTGTTTACATCAGTGTCAGTTACGAAATTAATTCATGTCATGTTATGATTTTGGGTTTTCTATAGATATTTTATTTATTAACTTACCTTAGATTTATTGACATTAATTTGTAACTTTGAATTTATTTCAGGAAAATCCTTGTCAGCATCCAGTCATTATATTGAAAGATGTGTCTGCTGATGACATAGTTAGCCTGTTGTCTTACATGTATCAAGGAGAAGTGTTCATAGAGGAAAGCAAGCTATCTTCCTTTTTGCACACTGCTGCACTGTTGCAAGTAAAAGGTCTAACTGGTGTAACACAACAGGTATATAATTTGGAACAAATTAATTTTTCACACTATTTTTAAAATCATAAACAATTTGATTTAGTTATAGCTACTGATATATCATCATTCAATATTTACGGTAATGTACAATTTAAAATATCAACAACCAAAACTTCGTCTGCTGCCTAGTCTGCATGGATTTCTTTCTAGTTATATTTTCTTTAGATGTAAACATCAAGCAATACATGTTTAATAAAAAAGTATAACCAAAACTTGTTCAGTATTGCTTAGTTTCTTATATTTTGTAGGTTACTTAGTGTCAAGGCTATTTTTTAATCCTATAGTAAATAATTAATTATAATAAGTAAACATTGTGTTATAATAATGATCAGGAGCAATTTTTTTATGGCTATGTTTTCAGAAGGAGAATTATTCTTCTCCCAACACTTCTAACAAACTTTATACACAATTAACAATTTCATCAAAATCATCATTTGGTGCTAATCATAAGGAGACAAAGTTACCTGCCTTGAAAAAAAGAAGGAGTAGTACATCAGACAAACCCAATGATGTTACTATTGGTGAATGTCATAAAAAAAGTAGAGTTCTAGATACATGTGATATTTATAATAAAAGAGACTTGTCCCAGTTAACTAAATCAGATAATACTGTATTTGCTCATGATAACAATTTGGAGAAAAATCTAGATGGCAAGAATGAGCCAACTACAGTGACAACAAATGGAAAACCATTGATACATTCACAGGTAATTATTTTACATTTATAATATACTTTTTTAATGATTTTAATAATGCAAATTAAACCCTAATTTTCAGAAACATGAACATTAGTACCTACAGACATAAAAAAACTATTTAATAGAAAGAGATAGATCTTTTCAAGGATGTAGACTGAATAATTTGGTCAGATCAATAAATACTTCATTTGCTTTAGTTTTTTCCCATTTCCAATAGAAAAATAGTGTACAATGTAACAAAATAAAACTTTATTATTTTAGTCAAATTCACACGGAGAAAACATTCCAGTGATAATAAAAGCAGAACATATTGATGATGACAATTCACCAGAATCTGCAAAAAATGACAACATTGAAAATGATGAGGGTCTTCCAGATTATGAAAACAGCATGTTAGCTAGATCTTTGCTATCTGGTAAGAAAACTATTGTCTTATATTTTGGACAGTGTAATGACAAATCAATAATAAGTGAAGTGTAATGTAATAGTGCAATATTAACATTTCAGGTATAAACCCTTCCAAGAGTGATGTGAGTGCTAACAGTGCAAAAAAAGTGGTGAATGTAGAAATTCACACTATAAGACCAAAAGAAGTAACTAATGAGTCAATTAGTTATACTAATGCTGTGTCAAAAAGTCCATTAAAGACAGCTGAGGAGCTGCTAGTGAAACCTGAAAAGCAGTCACCTAAGTCAGAAACTGAGTATGAGCCCGAAGTTTTATTGTCTGAACATAGTGATGGAATGGAGTCAGAGAACACTTATTCACAAGAACAATCCCAAGCACTGCTGCTCTTGGCAGGCATGTCTACAGTTCCTGTTTTGGGTACAGGTGCTTCAACATCTCAAGCTATCGCTCACCAACAATCAAATCATGCAGCCATCTGTGGAGACTGTCCGCATTGTGGAATGAAATATTCCAATCAGTCTGCTCTTAAGTACCATGTAAGGTTGATGCACTCAGACTTGACTAACAGATTATGTTGCTATCTGTGTCCAAGGTCATTTACAATGCGAGAGACTTTCAAAGAGCATATGTGGACAAGTCATGGTCAAAGAAATTAATTGGATAGACTGTATGCTATTATGATGTGCCTTAAATTGTTATTGCCATTTGGCAACTGGGGTGATAGATATACTTATGTGCCTTTTAATGGAATAATGCCTTGTTACATTTCTACAAATAGGAAAATATGCAAAAATATTTATAAAATAAAGCTACAATTTTGTAACAGAAATAATTGAGCTTTAATAATATACATATATATGCAATTGCATTGTGATATTGGTTTAGGTTATTGTTACTAGACAAGAACATGTTTCCCCCCAAAATTATTCTATTTATTCTTTGTTGATGCTATAAAGCATGTCTAATGACTTGCTTAGTTATTTTTTATGATAAGAATAGTTACATATTTTATAACTAATGGATATATTGAGAGGTGCGAGTTTTACATTTGGAACTTAACTGGACTGGTGCTAGTGGGTTAATAATAAATTAAAAAAAAGAACTGACAGCTTAGAAATATCTGCAAGTGTGAGTTATTATTAGACAGAACTTAGTTTTTATCAAAATATCTGTCTACATCAAATCAGTTGTATTAGATTTTATCATGTCAATATTTTAAGTATTTTAAAATTGAACAAGGTATATGAATTTTGTTAGTAATGTAGTATATAGGATTTGAAGCTCTGCAAACCAGCAAGGGAAATATGTTGCGTGAAGGATGGAAGGATTTGACTGGATTTAATGTGTATTCTTAAATCCTCTTCATATAAGGATATTTAAAAGTATCTACAGATTATATAATGTTTATAAAAAATATTTAGCCAGAAAAATACTGTTTACTTATGAACTTGGAGTGTGTTTTACTGAATGAAATGATGTTTAATATGATTTTTATAGTTTAATTTTCTTAAATTTAAATATATTATATTTCGTTTGGTGAATAGTGCCAAAATGTTATAAATAAGTTATTGAATTATTAGAATTTTAAGAGTTAGATATGTTACCAACTTAGTTAATTAGGATTTGAAAAGATTTTTACAAAGTTAAATATTTTGAATTCATAGGTAGTCTAAAATTATATGAAGCCTACATATTATTTTGAAACATGCCTTCCTATTGAATGATATAAAAATATAGAGAGATCATTATTTTTAAATGTTGGATAGGTGTAATTATATTATATAGATTTATTTAATTGATATTTTAATAGTTATTTTCACTATTTTAGTGATTTATGTTACTGTAAAATTGTTAATCTGTTTATTCAGAATTTTACAAGATTTACATTTTAAATTATGTTATGAATAAACATTTAAGCTTCACATTAAAGACATTTTACTTTATCAAAAACAATATTACTTATTATCTTCTAGCTTTTTGCTTTATATGTATCGAATCCAGATTGAAATACCGATTACTGAAGTGAGTTGTGATAGTCTGTGGTTGTGATGCATCTTTTTTTTTAAATAAAGAGTCACAAACTTGTGTAAGGTCTACCCTGCCTGATGGTAAGCGGCCGCCATAGCCAAGGGCGTAGCCAGGATTTAGTTTAGGGGGGGGGGGGGGGGGGGGGGGCAGGCAAGTGAAACTAATATGTTCGCAGTGTTACTATATGTTTCAAGACTTCACCTGAAATTGCATGTAAATTTTCTTGTACCATCTTTCGCTGGACACTTAACATACACAGGCCATTTATGAGTCCTGTGTGTGTTAAGAGATCAAGATCGAGCATCGTCGACCTCAACCACGTTTTGACTACACCGCAGTGTAGAGAAGTACCTCTCTACATTGCTCGTGGTGCAAGACAGTGTCAAAGAAATTAGTATAGGTTTTCTGGTTGGAGGAAAGAATGTTTCCGCCTTCTCTAACAACTCCGCAAAGTTCAGCTCTCTAAGGTGTTCTCTTGGCATACCCTCATCTTTCCATCGTTTATATCACAGTTCGGCTTTATTATCAAAGGATTCTAACCCATAGTATCAGCTGAAACTTTGTGTTTTCTGTTTGAATTCAGCCAATGAAATTTTCAACATCGCATCAGGATGCAGCATCATCAATCCTAAGGCAGGCATATGCCTACTGGAACATCGTTTCTTTGATTAACATATGTTTATCAAAGAAACGATGTTCCAGTGCGGATATAAGGAATTCCAAATACGATATGAAGATCGATCGCTTCCAAAAATCGCATGGAGTCTCAGCAGGAAGATTGGACTGATGTCGTTGGCGAAATGCAATGCGCAGGATATGTAAATCGGTTCCAATAACAGCTAATATATTGGAATTCCTGGTCCGCGTTACTGAGATGCTTCTTTCATATATACATGTCTATTGTCTTTGATTATAGGGCATTGGCAGCAGGTTCCAATATTCCTGAGTATTTTCCTTTCAAACCAGCAGATATAATAAATTCTTACTTGGTAGCAGAACAATATAAGTGGTAAGCGTTTTTCAAAATGATCGTTAAATATAGCAATACTTTTGTTTTTTTGTGACCAGTGTGTCTCACAAAGAGCTGGAATATTTGGCACGTACTTTCTCCGTAGAGAAGATTTTCGAAAAAGTTGATGACATATTTTATTGTGCTAATCGTGTCTCTTATTTCTGGAACATTATTAAAATCCAATGCTTTTTTGCCCAAAAAGGATTAATCACAAATAAAAAATAAATTAACTTTATAAAGGAAAGCTCAACTGTTAACTCGAAAAGCAAGCCTTTTTCAATCCTAGATACTGAACCTGACTAGACTATTTTAAAAGATACGTATGAATATCACTACAATGTACCAGATGATGTTTGTGTTTCGTCATCCAGGCCGGACGTATTCCCCTTTTTTAGGCACATCAAACATAAGTAAAGTACTAATAGAGCTTACTATATCGTACTACTAACATTCCAAAATACCTCAAAATTAAATTGAATAAATACTACGATCTTACCCACGAACTAACCAAAAATGGCTATCTAGGTAATTTACATGCGGTAGAAGTAGGGGCGAGAGATATAACCAGCAAAATCTTTCTATAACCTTCTAAAAGACCTCGGCCTATCGAGAACTGCAGTAAGTTTAATTTTGGAACGAGTAACTAAGGCTGCACTAACAGACTCCTATCAAGTTTGGCTAGGAAGGGCGGGCAACTCAAGCAGTGAAGGTGAGCGTTGATGCGTATCTCAAAGGAGGTATCCTTAAACCTACACCCGGATGGCAAGGCCCGGGAACTGCTCAGAGTTTCTCTCTCTGCCACACGATTGGACTCGGCACCCGCATGGTGAAACCATGGATTGTTAAGAATTTCATCTCACATACAATTAATGAGAATAGATGTCATTTTATGATCTTTTTAGTACTTCATTTTCACTAATGAAACTTCATTAAAGTTTATGACGAGTTTATAAGAAATAATGAGAATGAATTTTATTTTATTGGGAAATGTGACAGCTTATAAAACAAAATGATAAATATGAAATGATTTAACTAGAACAATCCAAGCCATTTTAATGATTTCACCAATCGCATATAAAAGCATTAGGTAGCTAGCTAGCTTGTGCTGGCTACAAAAAATCTAATTTTCGAATAACTTATTTTTATGATGCTTCTAAACCTGTGTTCTAAACGGGCCATAGTTGCCCGGCAATGTGTGGCTACGACATATGGCCCGGCAAAATTATATATTTAAGAATACCTTAATACTTGTTAGTTGTACACACAGTAACATTATACAGACTACACACTTTAAAAAATCCTTATATCCATCATTTTACGTCCAAGAAATGCTTAACGTAGGTACCTACGAAATCACTTCACTGTTTACGTTACGAGTAGTCCTATCGAAATTAGAGCTTTAGTAACGAGACTAATGAGAGTGATGTGCGATTCCATATTTTTTTAAAATTTTATATATAGTTTTTAGATTATTTATTATTTTATTTTTGGTTCTGAAGCTCCTCGATCTAGGGGAGGGGGGGGGGGGGGGGGTGGCAGCTGCCCCCCCTGCCCGTACCTGGCTACGCCCATGGCCATAGCCTATAGACCAGGGTTACGCCAATTTTCGCGTTTGTGTTTTTTTTTCTCTATTATTGTGTGTTTGTCTTAGGTGTTTGTGTTATTTTTGGAAACAATTTAAGGACAGAATATTATTTTTTTCCCAGTATTTTACAACACCCGAATAGTTATGTATTAAACGCTTGGTAGATGCTCTGGTTTTTATCAACTATCGTTACCATTCCAATCTAAGCATATTTTGTTATTTTTTAATTTTTAGTGATTAAATAATCGAAAAAAAATAAACTAATGATAAAGAAAAAAAAATGGTTGGTACTTTACACAAGAATAAAAAAAAGTTCGTAACAGATAGATCTGCAAAATTGGTGGATTAAATTCTATCTTTATATATATAATTCTTCTGTGAGTGTGTATGTCACTGAACTTCTCTTAAACGACTGGACCGATTTTGATGAAATTTTTTGTGTGTGTTCAAGGGGATCTGAGAATGGTTTAGATTCACAATTTTGTCCGCTGGACAACCCCTATTTTTTTAGGGCGGTACGAAGTTCGCTGGGTCAGCTAGTATTAATATAAAGAGAGAAAGCCAGAACATCAAGCACGAACTTTGACAGGTCCATAATCGTATCCCATCGTCAAAGTTTCCATGAAAACTAAGCAGCGCCTCTACCGGATATAAAAACAAACGGGCTCCTACCGTACAAAATTTGACGATGACGATACGATTACGGATCTGTCAAAGTTCGTGATAGGGACTCTGATTGACTGACTTATCAGTGCCCAGCCAAGTCATTGGACGTAGAGAGTTGAATTTTAACTCAGGTGTAGTCTTTAAGACGTACACTGTAGGGCGATTCTGTAAAATAAAATCTAACTTCCGATTTCGGTAGCTGCCATTTTAGACATTAGTTTGAAAAATGTTGCTATATCTGTAGAAGCAGCCAGTATTAGATATTTGTCAGAAATCCGAATAATTGAGATCATAAATGAGATGGCATCTTATAAAATATCTATGCTGGTCATGAAGGACTTTTACGTGTTCACATTTTTGTAGGTTTCACTTCTATCGCATGTGAACAGAACAGCATAAGTCCGTTTTTGAAGTGAAACTTCTTTAGGCACGCTTGACTTGGGGGGTAAACTGGCGAGTGTGTTACGATTTCGCGTTACGATTAGTGTCATCGGTGATTCATCGGTAAACAATGAACAATACCCGTCACAAAATTCATGAATCTAGTGCTTGGTGGGTGCTAATGGACCCAGTGCGGATTGGTGGGTGATAAAGGACCCAGTGCGGATTGGTGGATGATAACGGACCCAGCGCGGATTGGTGGTTGCTAACGTACCCAGCGCAGAATTGTGGGTGATAATGGACCCAGTGCGGATTCCAAGGTGATAACGGACCCAACGGGGATTGGTGGGTGACAATGGACCCAGTGCGGATTGGTGAGTGCTAACAGACCCAGCGCGGATTGGTAGGTGATAACGGACCCAGTGCGACTTGGTGGATGATAACGGATCCACCGTGGATTGGTGGGTAATAACGGACCCAATGCGGATTGGTGGGTGACAATGGACTCAGTGCGGATTGGTGGGTGATAACGGACCCAGTGCGAATTGGAGGGTGATAACGGACTCAGCGCGAATTGGTGGTTTATTTTCTATCAACAAATCTTCAGGTTAAGTTTATGATTTTCAGATCATTGGAGCTAAAGAAGTTTCACTTCAGTCGTGTGGTCATAAGCACACTCACTTTTTTTCCTTCCTTGTTTTTAATAGCTATTAAATGTCAAATTAACAGGTAAAAATAAATTACGATATACTCATGAACGTTTGTTTCTGTGTGTTATTATTCGGATTTCTATATCTATAGTCCAGGAAATAAAAAAATATAATTTTTAGATTCTGAATTGATAGGAATTTTAGGATTTTTATCGTAACTTATTATTTATAGTTCTTAGTGTATTTTAAACACAGTTTTTTTTTATTTACAGTAGCTTATTTTATTGTAATCCACGAAAGTAGTATTAAAGAAGAGCTTTCTACCTGCGCTATCGAGCTCGATATGTACGTGCTTAATACGTTTTTCTGAAATATTTAAATTGTTTTGGATTAAGCGTGCGCTAGCGTAGACCTGCGTAGCACTCGTTAAAAGAATGGGATTGATCTTTGACGAAAGCTTAAATCACTGATTATTTTTTAATTTATCACACATAATAAAATTGTTAAGTTCTTAAATCATCGAAGAAAACAATGTCAGGAAAACAAACAACCTCAATTCACTGAAGTATGAATTCGCTAACCCCTTATTTTATTATAAAT